TTTCTACAACTGACAGCGTACACAGTCTGTTTCCTGTGTAGAGCCATGATGCTTCGCTTTGAATGATGCAGACTACACTGGTTCAGAATCTGTAAACCTGAGTGCCGGGGCCTTTGTAATGGGGCATTGACTTTGCTTGGCGCATTGTGGCAGAATAGACGGAAGTTCACGGTCGTCACTCTAACGCGTTAGAAGTTTGTACACCATAATTAAGAAATAAGGATTATTAATTGTAAAAGGATAAAGAATTCTGCGAAAAAGCGGCGCAATAAGAACATTATTGAAGATTGATGTGTTCTGGGGTAGTTTAGCAGATGTTTCGGAGGAACCTGTTGCCCGCATCTTGATGGAAGAAGAATGAAGATGGGTGCAGCGGGTTCATCCGAAACTGTGATGAATACCTAATGGACTGTACGGCGTCATATTTTGGAAAGCCGTAATCATCATAGTCACCACCGTAAGAACCTCACATCTCACAAAATGAACGTTCTTAAATAGGAGCTAACACTGCCTTCTTACATTAAAATGCTTACAAATCAACGCTTACAACTGCAATTCATGAGCCGTATACCGTGAGCATTCTTTCCATCAGTGCATTTTCCGGCTATGTTTAATTTGTCTATTGTAACCGCAATTCTTCGCAGAGCATTGCAACACGAACCGTACCGTTAAGAGATATGTTGGAATTACAAACATTCTGCCTAACCATCGTAATGGTTGCGTGGTCTAAGGCAGTGGTTTCCAAATTGTGGGTNCGCGGGGGGGGGGGGTCAACTATTTGGTTTGTGGGGATATATTCATGTTCGGGAGGTACTCGTCGAGACCCCATTGTCGTGACTGGAGATTTTCGTGGTTTCTTCAGTCCCTCCAGGCAATTGCCGGCAAAGTACCTCGATTAAGCCACAACATCTTCCTTGCGAATCCTTTCCAATTCATCCTTTATCTGTAAACTTGTCATTTGATGCTCCATATCTAGGTACTGAGAGTATCGTTATGGGTTACACCATTACAAAGGGTAACTATCAAAGTTTTTTTCTGAGTATATAACTCTCTCAGTAAATTTCAATGTGGGCTCCCCTGGTGGCACGACAAATATCCAGACGATATTCGACGTCGTCCCACGTTGCTTGAAGCATGTTTGGTGTTACCGTAGCCACAGCGTCCCTTATGCGGGCTTTCAGGTGTAAGGTCGTTGATCTTAACCCGGTAGACAATGTTCTTCAGATAACCCCACAAGAAAGAATCCAGGAGTTAAATCTGGCGACCTAGGAGGCCAAGCGATTGATCGATCAATGTCCCAGCCATCTCTCTGTCCAGGTGATTCCTAACATGATGGCAGAAATGTGGCAGCGCCTCATTTTGTTGGAGGGTAGTTTGAGGTGGTAATTGGGGCAGCGCATGCAGCTCCAGCATGTCCATGTACGAACATCCGGTCACAGTCTTTTCCAAAAAGAAAACGGTCCATCAACTTGTCGTGCATTGAGCCGGCCCACACGTTCACTTTTGGGCTGCCCCTCTCCAACTCATATGTGACGTGTGGATTTTGACTGCCCCAAATTATGCAGTTGTACCTGTTTGCAACTCCACTGACATGGAATATCGCCTCGTCCGAGAAGCACATTTCCGGAGGAAATCGAGTGACGCGTCAGTTCTTTCTAGCATGTTCACAGCGAAGTGTGTGCGTGCTACTTGGTCACTCGATTTTAGTGCATGAATCATTTGAATCTTGTACGCTTTTAGGCGGAGCCATTTGTGTAGCACATCGTGCACTGTTGAACGTGGAATTTGTACGTAACTGCAAGCTAGCAGCACGAATTGATTTGCGCGGAATTATTTTGCTGGAATGCCTCTCTAATGCGATTTGACATTTTCCTCAGAGGTCCGTGTCTTTCCAGGAGATTTTGTACGTAACAGACTGCTTGTAGTCCTCACTCTGTTGTCCCAGAACCGAAAGCTTTTCTGTATAGGAGGTTGGCGTCCATACTACGTTCTAAAAGAACCCTGGACAGCCGTAAGAGATTGCAACTCTGCTACCTACAGCAAGCATTGAACCTGTCCCTCTGGTGTCAACACGGTTACTGAGCTCGCCGCAGGTCACCAGCTGGCGCAAGCGCGTAGGCCCGGCATTAAAAACAATTTCAGAGTTTTGCTTTCCGATGACATAAACCGGATACGTGTATGGCAATTAGTTTCCGAGATATACATTTTTTATTTTGGATACCTTTCATCCGGACGCCCTGCATATACGATGTATATGTTGTTAACAGTGAGAGGAAGCTCATAAATTACGCAGTTTCGGTGTACGATAGCAACGAACTGTTGAGTGTTAACACGTTGCGTGAGCGTTTATTATGTAGTAAGTCACAAACGAGCGAGGAGTATCGTGTCTATTCAATGAATATTGGTAATGTTTTGATGTAGATATGTGCAGTGTAGTATACTATTTAGATAGGAAAATGTTTATGATTGACTGTTTATGCATGTTATTCGTTGGAGACGACATTAATCGTTGACCTCGGCGTCTCGTTCGATGATATGTAGGACTGGGAATGAATTCGTGCGGAAGCAGAGGAAAGCTTATATAAGTGATGAGACCCAATAAATTCGCAGCGGAAGTTACACTAGTAACCTACGGAGGGAAAAGGCAGTGTTGGATTTGAGGTTCTCACAGCGATTACTATGGAGAGTACGAGTGCTTGCTCCTCATTCTGACAGGTTTCATGCGTGGCTTACTCTTCTATGAAGATGGACGCGGCATGTTCCCCCGAAACGTTGGTGGACTTTGTAACCCAGAAGCTCTTCAAGAAAAAGAGAGACTGCGAAACCCGGAAAATGGGAGACCTTGGAACGCATTGGTATATCTTACCATGCAAGAAGAAGAAGAAGAAGAAGAAGAAGAAGAAGAAGAACTCGTCTGCAGATTGGAGAATACTGGTGATGAATCAGTGGTTGTCACAGACCTGTACAGAATCATGCCGCCGTGGCTTGGTCGTCACCCCGCGATAATGGTGGATTTGATGAAGATAAGGATGATGTTAAAATTTGAGGGACTTTATGCTCTGCTTCGTATCCTTAGGCTTCCAGGATCTCCCCCCCCCCGAAAGGTGTGGTAAGCCAGGAAATTTGCTTACAAACTTAGGGTGAAGACATTCTACTAATTGTCGTAGGGTATTCATGATAGAGAAATTTTTAAAATTATTTTAATTTTTGGTATTAATATTTGGTATGTTTCCTTCTCTTTTCACTTTTGATTTTTCACCAAAAGTCAAGGGGATACAGATGGCTGTATTCCCACCCCTGCCGGTACCCCCGTTCGTACCTCATGCTCGCCATTTTATTTCTGGAGTGTGTGTTAACATAAATATATTGTGAAGTTTTGTATGTTGTGGTTGTTGTCAACTACCAAACTTAGTGGAGGCAATATTAGCACTCCTTCACACTCGTCAGGTCACGTGTTCAAATCTCGACTCAGAGTGGTTATGCCGGCCGAGAATTTCCATGGCTTTCCACATTTCCTCCAGGCAGCTGACACTGCGCGATAGTTTGTTCCCCCATTCGTGCTACGCGTCCTTTAACCTCAAACTTAGTAACTTTATCGTGGTAACAGTATTAGGAGGTAAGATTAAATTAAATTATGTATAATGTTAAATGGCAAAAACTAGAAGATATACTGGGGAGTGGGTATGTAGATCCACAGAATGACCTTGGCACTAGTTGGAGGTGAGTGGTCAGCTTCATGCCCCGGTCCCTTGACCCTGGGAGAAAGAGTCCTCGCTACCCATTGGATAGGTGGCTGGGTGGGCTTCAGAAACTGTCTGGACCACGTGGAGAGGAGAAAAATCTTGTATCTTCAGAGACTCAGACTCCGTCCAGCCCGTAGCCATTCGCTCTACCCGCTGCTCTCTCGAGGCCCCAAAGTTATGTGTATTGAGCATCATTAATATAACAGAGAAGAAGGACATGAAACCCAATTATGTTGTCGGGCGCGTGCACACCGGAACTCGGAGTATGCGCCACGGTGGGTGGCAGGGGATGCTACTCTTCTTCCTTGGGTGAACACGCCATCTTCCTCGGAACTTTCTCTACGAGCGTTGCGCATCTTCAGTGACTAGCTGTGTGCAGAAGCGCGAGTCACTCTCCGAGGCTCCTACACGCTGAACAACCTGTAGGAATGTTAGTGTTGTGTTAGTTGTCGCAGGTCTAGTGCTAAGTTGGTTATGTTTTGCGAGAATTGTTGATATCTGTGTCTGTAGTTCAGTGATCGGCACTGTATTTGTCGTGGCTGGCGGGATACTGAATTCTGTAGGATGTGAAATAAGTGGTTATGGTCCATTAGAAGTTACTACCCCACTAATTGTTTTGAGTGATTAACGAAGCCCACGAGAAATGTTTACAAGGATAGCAGATCTCCTGGCACCTCCGGAACACTTATCAGGAGTGTGAGCCACTCAACCACGACAATTGGTTCAATTGTTGGTAGGGTGGAGCTAGTTCGAAGAACTGGCTGGACACCTCGACATTGCGGCCCGAGTGTGTTGAATACGAGGATAAGAAGCGGGTCACGAACCTAGCATCGAATTCTTATTGAGAAGCCTACATTAGGTCTTCCTAGTGATCTGTGTCCTGGCTTTCCACCCCAAATAATGTATGCATTCCCCTTCTCCCCCATGCGTGCTACATGCCCTGCTCATTTCATTCTCCGTTGACTTTATCATTGTAAATATATTTGGCAACAAGCACATGCTACGAAACCCTTCATTATACAGGTTTCTCCAACTTATTATTACTTCATCCTTCTTGGATTCAAATATTCTCCTCAGATACCCTCAATTTATATTCCTCTCTTAATTCTGAGGCCAAGTTTCACACGTTTCACCCATGGAGTTAGTTCGACTTGCGTTTGTACCAGAAGGGAGATGAACGGAGCAGATTACAGTTGTACAGGTGCATATGTCAGTGTGAGTGGTGAGGACCTGCAGATGTCGGTCTTCCTGTTGCAGGTTCCGGACAGCGGCGGTGCTCCGCCTGGGATGGACTGCATGCCACTACAGCGCTCCCCCGGGCCGTTCCACTACCTCATCCACGAGCAGGCCAAGTCACTTGTCGCGCTACAGGTGAGTGCATGACTGGCTTGGTAGGCGACTGTATTTCTCAGGTTATTCACGTCCCTACCGAAGTTTATGTTGTGACTTTTTCTCCTCACCAGATACGAGGGAGAGTCAGTAAGTAGGTCAAAAATGCAAGCCAAACAGTTGTAATGGACATAATAAGGTTTCCACATGTATCACTAGTTAACAGCACAATCCAGCTTTATGACAATCTAGGTAACAGTCGCGCTTGGGATGTTCCAAGGCTGGTTTTACTAGTCAAAATGGCAACCGTGCTTGAGGAGCGATCTGCCCCAGAGCAGTGTTCTTTTGTGCATTTTTGTGGGCAAAAGAACCCAATGTAAAGGATATTCATAAAGAAAGGTTTCCTGTTTACGGCGGGAAGTGTTTGTCGCGTAAGGAGATTCAGAAGTGGGTCGAGAATTTCTCTGAAGGACTTTAGAAAGTCGCACATGATGCCCGACCAGGCGCGGAAGTGGTTGAGACAACACTCAAAAGACTTCTATACTGGGGGCTTGGACGCACTGGTAAAGCGATGGGACAAGGACGTAGGTCGTACCGAAAGTCATGAGCAACTTTTTTTGCGTGCAACCTGGGAACAGCAGACGAAAGAGAGTACGGTGGTACGTCGAACCAGCTGTTGTGTTAACCTTGAGTGTCTTGTGACGTCAATAGCTTGCATCACGTGACCAGTATCACTCCTAACAAAATGGCCGACAACCATATGTCGTTTCGCCAGCGTGCTGTCATTGAATTTCTTGTGAAAGAGGAAATCCCTGCTGCAGAAATTCACCAGAGACTTCAGCGTGCTTATGGATGCTTATGGAAGTGTGTACATGGGTGCGAGCAGTGTTCGAAGGTGGGTGAAACATTTTAAGGATAGGAACACCAGCATCGAAGATGAGCCTCGGAGCGGTCGTCCTCGAACAGCCTCAACTGAACGCAACAAGGAAAGTGTGGATGAGATCATTCAAGATGACAAGCGTGTGACTGTGGACACAATAGTCCAAAAACTTGGAATATGACAGAGTGCAGTACAGGAGATGATTGAAGGCTTGGGCTATATGAAAGTTTTTGCTTGTCGGGTCCTGCGGTTATTGACCAAAGACCACAAAGGTCAGTGAAAAGCCATCACCTGAGGACTGCTGCAGAGATATTGACACGGAGGCGATGATTTTTTGCTCTGTATTGTGACAGGTGACGAAAGCTGGTTTCACCATTTCGAGCCTGAAGCGAAACGGAACGGCAGAGTATGGAATGGCACCATTTGCATTCTCCATCAGAAAAGAAGGCAAAGACAGTGCCATCAGCTGCGAGGGTGATGGGCACAGTCATCTGGGGTGCAGAGGGGTTTATTCTGGCCGAATTCCTGGAACCTGGGCAAACCATCAATGCTGCTCGTTATGTCCAGACGCTGCACAAGCTCTGTCATGCATTGTGCGATAAACAAACATCATCCTGCATGACAACGCTCGTCCCCACGCCTCTCGCCTCACAGTGGAAGCACTTGCAGAGACGGGGTGGGAAGTTTTTCCACACCCCTCCTATAGCCCTGATCTGGCACTCTCCGACTACCATCTTTTCGGATTTGTGAAGGATCAGCTGCGTGGACAACGTTTTGAGACAAGGGAGGCAATTCAGAAAACAGTGCGTCAGTGTCTTCGGATGGCTGGAACGTAATTTTACAGAAGGGGAATTTTCAAACTCCCAGAACGCTGGGAGAAATGTGTACAAAGAAGTGGCGATTATGTGGAAAAATAAAGAAAGGTCTGTAGATTGAGGTGGTGTATTTGGTTTGTCAATAATAAAGCATGTTACTTTACAAAAAATTGTTGCTCATGACTTTCAGTACGACCCTCGTATATCAGTGTTGGTGGAGAATATGTCGAGAATTAGATGGCTTTTCCCAGGTTCAAATATCACATGTTTTACGTTTTATATTAATTCGTGACCTGTTTACTGACTGTCCCTCGTATAATGTTTAGTAGTATAATGCCCATTGAAATATTAAAGATAATTTTTTAAAAATAAAATTTCCTCAAAACACCTAACCTCAGAGTTCGGGAAAGGTAGTCCAGCTGCGTTGACACTGAGGTACTAAACTACAGAATAAAATTGTGCACTAATGATTGCCGCTGTCTAGAGGATTTTTATTCTGCAACACCGACTCTGTGGTACCGTCTACTACAGTAATTCTCTTCTCCTATTCCTACCCACTTGCTAACATACTGTCACGTATAGGGTGGTACGCGTGACGAAAATAACGGGTTCTAGTTCTGATGATTGGATATATTAGCACCTTGGTTACAAGTTCTCTTAATCACACTTAAATACAGCGCTGTCACTGATTTACACACTTTCCAATCACCGTTGCAGATGCACTTCACTAGTCGTCTCCTGTCAACGGAACTCAACAAAGCAACTATCACTTCAGATCACTATAAAGTCTTCTTATCTTCAATCACTTTGTTTTCCTCTGTCCTCATCTGTACTTAGCTAATCCTCACAATTCACTAAGGACATGCTCCATTCACGTCCTTGTACTCTCTAGCTGCGACTGACTGCAAACGACCTTCATTGTCATCTATAAACCTTCGGCACGAACCCCATATAAAACACCTATTATTGTAGACGTGTTTACAATTCTGTAATTTGGCACTAGACATAGGGCGTACCACATTGAAAACACTTCTTCTGCAACGGACTGTTTACCAAGAATCTGTTTTCGCAGGAACTTGTTTACGGAGCCGTTGCCTAGGAACGCTTTCAGCAAATCCGTTACAATACATAACTACAGAATAACAAGTCTTAAACTTTTCATATAAGCTCTTATGTGTATCCCTGTGACTTGGTCTTCTGAAGTATAATTTCCTTCACACTGTAGGTATCTAATGGTTTGCTGCCATTGTACAATATTAATGGGGTGCCGCCTCAGCATACAGTATTGTCATGTCCTGTACAGTAACTGCTGTATCGTGCACTAGTAAAGTGATTCTATGTATGTTCATGTATGTAGTACATGCTTATGAATGGCGAACTAACTCCATGGAGCCGGATCTTTCTTGAGAAGCTGCCAGTATCTCAGCTGCTCAAGAATTTCCAAACATTTTTGGAACCCGAAGTTTCCAGTCCATGCCTCCCCATCCCATTTCTCTAGGATCCATCCTATTATTAACCTTCAACCTACGTCTAGGTCTTTCCAGTGGTCTCTTTCCTTCTGGCTTTCCCACATAAACCGTATATGCATTCCTCTCCTTTCCCATGCATGCCACATGCCCAGCTCATCTCATCCTACTTGGCATGATCATTGTAATTATATTTGGTTAACCCTACAAGTTATGAAGCTTCTTGTTATGTAGTTCAGGATAATAATATTAAGATGGGTGCACGCGGTAGCGTATTTGGTTGAGGCACTGTGCTACAAGCCGGAAGGTCGCGGGTTCAAGTCCCGATAAGGTCATTGGATTTTTTTCAATTGACCTAATCCTTCCAGCCGCACTATGGCCCTGGGGTCGACTCGGCGTCTTAACAAAAATGAGTACCAGGAATATTCTTGGGGGTAAAGGGCGGCCGGCGCGTAGGGCTGACACCCTTGCCGCCATCTATGAGTCGATTGTCTAGAAAATGTGGGAACCTCAACATCTCACAACCCTATGGGTCTCCACGGCCTGTTACAGGGATACCTTTACTTTCACTTTATTTTTTTTTACTTGTAATATTAAGATAAACGACAGATTATAAAATGTGACAGAAGTGAAACTAACACGCTGATGTGCTTTCCGTTTCCATGAGAGCACTCTGCTTCATGTAGCTAGTCCGAGTTCCCAAGCTCGTGCACTGGAGACAGGCTCCTATTGGTACTCTACTTTGTTTAGATCCGTGCCCCCTTGAACATTCTCGTAAATTCAGAGACTGGGACAGTCACGGTTAATTGATTTATCGGTCAGAAAATTATTATTTATGATTTAAATGTCAGTTAATTTCCTTCGACAGTGTGTTCAATTGAACTGCGTTGTACCGCTGCTGCTGCAGTATGCAGAATTTGGCGTAAAATGAGTATCACTATTTGTATTCTCTCACGTCACTTTTGTTTCACGTGAATGCAATCCACTTTCCCTTTTATTTGTTTTTTGTCGTTGTTTCTATTCTTTTTCTTTTTCATTCCTTTGTCCTTTCTTTATACGAGGCTTTACGAATCAAGGGAATGCTAATATGGCGTGTCGTGGTCCTTGTATGAACACCCTGTCGCAGTATCTGGCTAGAGAAGAACCAGATGTCTCAGCCATTCAGCAAAAATATCCAGACATTCGTTGGGAAGGAACCTGGTTATAGCCTCGGGTGGGTTATTTGCTATCGTATCTAGTTTGTCCAGACCAATTCCGTGATAGTACAATACTTTGAAATATGCTACGGTTGTCGTCTTCCAAATGAATATCTGCGTTTTGTGGTCATATTTCTTTCTTTCGACGCTACATAACGCAGCGGTTGGAACACTTTCCGAAATAACAAAGATCCATAAAAATAAAATGAGCTAGAACAATCTTTTTCTGGATTTAGTTATCAGCAGTTATATTCATATTAGTCCCCCCCCCGCCCCTCNTACTGGCGCTACAATCCTGTGTGGGTCTTGGCCTCCTCCACGATTTCGTAACAGTAAATTTCTCCCAGCGTCGGGTTGTAACCCCACGCCCAACCCCCAGCATGGAGAACCAGAGACTACACTTCGCCTAGCCCCTACCCTTTGACCGGTTTGACATGGGTGGTCCTACCAGCAGCTTATGTTCCCGCCAACATAGCTCTCCGCGTCATTGAGGCATGCAAATCTCTCCACAAGGCGGCAGTCCTCGAGGATTTGTATTAATAACCTACATAAAATGTGAAGCATACTGTCTTCCGGGATGTGATGTCATGTAGATCTTGTGTGAACCGACGTTTCGGAGGAACGTATCTCTTCCACCTTCAGGGTAGACAAATCCGCGAGCGAAGTTGCAGCCACCTGCTCATGCCGGTTCCTCTCTCGCTGACTTTTATACTCTGAAGGTGGAGGCGATGCGTTCCTCCGAAACGTCGATTCACACAAGATCTACGCGGCACCACATCCCAGAAGACGGCATTCTCCATAGTCACCGCCGTGAACCCTCAAATCTTACATAAATAAAATATCGTTTTTCATCGTAAAGTACTCATTCGATTGATCGATTATTGGTGAAATAGTAAATAGCTACTTCTTCACTCCAGAGATTAGGAATTAGACTGTTGCAGCCTCGTTTATGACGCTCACGAACTCTTCTGTCTTCGGACGTTCTCTCCGTATACTGAGTTAAGTCGTGGTCTGAACTGAGGGCGGGTCCCAGGCTTGCCTTGGAGATGTTATTTTATTTGTTCAGTATCTTCAGCTCTGTTTTACTGTGGGACACGCGGTACTATAGTCCGTCGAGGCACTGTGCTACAAGCCGGAAGGTCGCGGGTTCGACTCCCGGTCAGATCATTGAATTTGTTTCAATTGACCTAACCCTTCAAGCCTCACTATGGCCCCGGGGTCGACTCAGCCTCTAACGGAAATCAGTATCAGGAATCTTCCGGGGGTTAAAGGGGGAAAGGCGCGTAAAGCTGACAACCTCACCGTCATCTGTGAGCCGATTGCCTAGAAAATGTGGGAGCCTCGATAACTCACAGCCCTATGAGCCTTTAAGAGGGATAGCTTTACCTTATCTGTTTTACTGTCACCAAACTAACTAACTAACTTCATGGAGCTTAGTCTCTCTTGAGAAGCAGTCACGCAGCTACTCAAGGACTTCCCAGAATCTTATGGAGCCCAAAGGTTCATTACCGTGCTCACAAGAGCCTTCCACTGGTCCCTATCCTGAGCCAGACGAATGCAGCCTATACCACCCCATCCTGTCGCTCTCATAACCATTTTAATATTACTCACTCATCTATGCCCTCGTATACCTAGTTGTCTCTTTCCTTATGGCTTTCCCACCAATATCCTATATGCATTCCTCTTCTCCACCATTCGTGCTACATGTCCTGCACATCTCATCCTTCTTGACTGATCGTTCTTCTAATTATACTTGGCGACGAATACAAGTTATCCTGTAGCCATACAGTGATCTTGGAAATTTGATATCGGTAAATCCGTTAACACTGTACCCCGTTGAAAGACCCTAACAAAACCCGCTTGTAAGCAAACCAATATTGGCATTGTAAAAGACTGCAACGAAGGAAGGAGTGAGCTTTGGTTAGTCGCAATATGTGCCCGATTATCTGCGTAGTAATTCAGCAATGCTCGTGCGAGCTTCTGTTGCTGCCGGAAAGGCAAGACAAATGTGCCTATACATCGTTGCAGCTCCTCCCGCAGCCGATCAGTTTATAGTGTATTGACATTGATGATTCGTGGGGTTCCGTCTTCAGATATTCTTACCAAATAATCCAGCCATTTCTTCAAACAGTTTTTATTTCATTACTTCCAGTTCCTCTTTAACACCTTCACTGCGTCTCTGATCCCCATTCCGTATCGTACGACTGCTCTGGGGAAACTCACCTCTGCCGTCTCCGTTCTTATGATGCTTTCTTTCCTCTACGTCCAAAATTTGGATCCATATCAAACCACGCCTTATGTTTGACTCTACCAGTACAGAATTTTGTTTATTATATATACACATAAAACAAAAGGTAAAGCTATCCCTGTAACAGGCCGTGGAGGCCCATAAGGTCGGTGAGGCCAGCCTTACGTGCCGGTATCCACTTACTTCCAGAAAGATCCCTGGTACTCATTTCTACTAGAGGCAGAGTAGACTCCAGGGCCATAGTGCGGCTGGAGGGATTTGGTCACTCAGTGGGAGAACATTCGAACCTAAGAAGGCTGGAGAAAAATGCTTTAATGAAGGCAGTCATAACGTGTACGATGATGAAATCAAAGAGCTCTCTTTGGATATAGCATATATGGGAGAGGAGATGTTACACAATTTTGTTAACAAATAACGAAATAAAAACACACTTAATAGACCCAGATGAAGATGGTAGGAAAATAGTAAGATGTATCGTAAAGAAATGGAATTTGATAATGTGAAATTATAGAAGATGTGGCTAAATGGTGAGATTGTGTGATTTAATAAGACGTAGATAATTTTTGAACCAGCTGGGCTACTGTTAGCTTGTTAAGAAGGACTCTGATCCTTGTAGTTACAGTGAAGAAATATCGGACAGCGGATAAAGTGAAACCTAATCACAGAGAACATGCTTATCTGTAGCTGAGATAATTTAAAGATTATCAGGACTGATTAATGCTTTGTTGTATCAGCAATCCGTAAGATATACGCATATTGCAGGTTCATGCATCTGTTTACGTAAAAACCGCACTTTGTTCATTTAAATTTCTTTCCTTTTCGAGCACAAACTAAATTATATCAGTATTATAGGACTATTGTTTTTAGATATCAGACTTCCTTGAAACTATCATTTTGGATGCCGTCCATCGTAAGAGATACTAAAGCCACAATATTACGAAAGTTGGCGCTAATTCCGTCTTCAGGTGAGCAGGATGCGAATGAGAATCCATTCTATTGGACCACTATGTACAGCTGCTCTCAGAACTATATTTCCGTCTTCAGGTGAGCAGGATGCGAATGAGAATCCATTCTATTGGACCACTCGGTGGAGCTGCTCTCAGAACTAGTATTTCCATCTTCAGGTGAGCAGGATGCGAATGAGAATCCATTCTGTTGGTCCAGTCGGTAGAGCTAACCTGAAACCATGCTATTGTTCTTTCCCCCACCATCCTGGCATAACGTGGGATCCGAACCACGATGAGTGTATTGTATTCCTCAGTTCACAAAATGTATATTTTGAAGGGGTGGGGATGAAAACAGAAAGCGTGGCGGAAGAAACCGCCCTGGATTTGGATCAGATCGAGCGCTTGACTTTACCCTATAAAATTTATCAGTAAAAAAAAAAGTAAAGCTATCCTTGTAACAGGCCCTGAAGGCCCATAGGGTTTGAGACGTTGAGGGTCCCACATTGTATAGACAATCGGCTCAAAGATGGCGGTAAGGTTGTCAGCCTTACGCGCCGGCCGCGCTTTCTCCCCAGGAAAATTATTTATTTAATTCCTGGTACTCATTTCTGTTAGGGGCTGAGTGAAATCCAGGGCCATAGGGCCGGAAGGATTAGGTCAATTGAAACAAATCCAGTGACCTCATCGGGATTTGAACCCGCAACCTTCCGACTTGTAGCATAGTGCGCAGAAAAAAATACAGGATAGAGACAAGTTCAGGGAAACCCGCAACTGATTTAATTTCGAATTATAGAGAAAACCACTGCCTGTTCTCTCTGTAACATGACATCACAAAAGCCAAGCTGGACAGCATCATAACACTTCCGTTAGCACAGCTTATGAAGCGTATAAACGCCAGTATTTCTGTCTTGACAGACAAGCATCTGAAAGATGACGGCGATCTGTATGCAAGTACAGGGCACCATGGTATTAAAACGTGCAAGTTTTATAGAAAGAAAAGGAGTAATGTGAAATGGGCTGAAACGATTCGCTCTTTGGGTGTTCCTAATGTCTTGTACAAGTTTCTGGCCCATGTAATGTCTCCCTAGGGCGGATAGTTCCATTTGAAGGGCTTCTCAGAGTGCGAAGTAGTGATAATTATTTTAAGAATAAGTGAACACCTAAAAAGGTGTCTGTGTGTTTGCATATCGAAGTTTCCGCTTTTGAAACTTATAACCGGTATATAACTTCAGAGATTGCTTTGTAATCAGTGAACTAACTCCATGGAGCTGAGTCTCTCTTGAGAAACCGTCAGTCGCTCAACCACTCAAGTATTTCTCGATATTCTATGACACCAGAAGTTCTATTGCCGTGTTCATAAGAACCCGCTACTCGTTCCTGTTCTGAGCTAGACGAATCTATTCCCCACGCTATTTTTTTTATTAATGACTTTCGTAAACAATATTTGTATTCACACAAGCGAGATATCAGATTTGTAGCGCTAAAAGAGTGAATTCTTGTACTTCAATCAGTATATTTAGGCTGACGGTGTTTGAGAACATGGTGCCATGGAGAATATTTGGACCTAAAGACAGTAAATAACTTGAAGCTGAAGAAAAATTTCACATAAAAAGCTTTAATGATACTAAATACTACTAAGGTGATCAAATCAAGGAGGTTGCACGAATGAGACATGCATACAAAATTTTTGTCAACATTTAAAAGGGAGGGACCATTCGGGAGATGGAAAATGTAGTTGGGAGAGTAGTAGTGAATGCATTTTAAGGAAGCAGAGAGGGAAGAATCCAGTGGTGGATTCTTGTGAATACAATAGCGCATCTTCGGGTTCCATTAAAGGCTTGGATTTTCTTGACCATCTTCTGAAGATGGCGTTACTTATTGTGACAGCAGTTTCTCACTGAGAGGACCTCATTTTGTTCCAGGAGCTGCAGAATGAAGTCGGAGCGCTGTTGGAGTTCCGGGACCTCGTCATGGAGACATTCCCACACTTGCGGAGTAAGATGGTGGCAGGCATCACGTCATGTAACGTCTCCCACACCAGCAGCACTCAATCTAACATCCCCATTCCTCTGACATCCTCCAGGCGCGAATGGGAACCTGGTATCAGAGTTCGCCGCAAAATTCAGTCACACGCTGGTGCTAAAGACTCTGAGATATCGGTGTCGTCTCTGGCTTCGAACCGAGGACGGAGCAGTAAGACTTCAGCGGTACACACACAGCAACCAAAGAGCGGCGAGGGGATAAACAGTGGCAGCGGCACAAGTTCCGCTGGGAGCAGTGCTGTGCAGGACTCGGGTTTCGGAACAGAGACGTCATCCAGCAAGGAACACTGTCACAGCGCGACCACAGGGCCCGTAGTGGTGCACAGGCCCACAGCCACGGCGCCATCTCCCGCTGTACAGGACGAAGCTGAAGACGAGCTGTGGAATCTTCTTGACGTTATCCATAGGAAGGGCACGAAGCTGCGAGAGGATGTGGAGTACTTACAGCAGAGGTTCCAAGTGAGTGACAGACTAGTGATGGCAGGGCACAAACAGGGTGACGAAATAATCAGGCGGAGGAGCCTGAGTGACATAGAGCAAGAACTTATGCATGAGTCCGGAAAGATCTGCACTTTGGAGGAGAGAGAAAAACGACTTAAAGACCTCAACACTGTAAGATCTCGGAAAGCCCTGTTAGGCATCGCTGGACGTAGTCTGCATGATGGACACTCGCTTGACAAGCTTGATGCTAACAGAGACGAACTCCGCAATTTGCAACGCGAGAGGGACTTGTTGTTAGATAAAGTTGCCGAAATGGAGGCAGAGACACTCGCAAGTAGGGCAAGAGCTTCTCAGTTGCAGTCAGAACTTGGTTGCCTCATAGAGGTTAAGCGAGACTTGGAGGAGCAGCTTCGGGCAGCTGTTAGTCAGAAGAGTGAGCTTAACAGTCGGATCCACGACCTGCACCTGCAGTTCGTCAGTGGCAACAAGAACAGCGGCACGAGTACCTCGGCGTCTCCGCTCAGCGACACGACTGGCCGTAAGTTGCATTTAGTCTCCGGGACCAGGAGGACTGCCGCTGTAAGCCAGGAACGGCTTCGCAGCGCGGCATCTAGTCAGGCTGCTTATGGTCGAGTGTCAAGTCCTGGCAGGAGCCAGTCGTGCTTCACTCCTGTCCCGATATCTTCGCGTCGATATTCAGAAAGTACCACCAGCATCAAGTCACCTGTTGAAAAGAATATCATCTCTCCGAATTTATCCAGTCATCCTCAGGATGTGGGGCCATCTATATCAAGACAGGAACTTGAAGGCGGTGTGGATCGTGTCAAGTCTGAAGTGTTGGAAAGTCGAAGTGTTGAGGATAGGTTGGCCAGTATGACGGACGGTGAAAAAACGAGGTTCAAATTAGGTACATTGGACGGGGTTGTAAGCTCGCCGTCACGTATCGCACGTGGAGTCACACCTGATCCCCACGTAGTGGCAGCTATTCTCCAGGAGTTCAGCGCCGTTGAACTGCAAAGACATCTGCTCGTCACGTCTGTGGAGAACAAGGTGAGTTTGCGATCTGCTAGTCATTGCTGTATTTCGTTACTGAGGTCAACATAAAACATTAACATAATCCTTCAAGTAAAATCGGGTGTGGACCCGTACCAAGCTAGTACCAAGCAAGTTGATTCAGCCGGTAACGCTGCTGACTTGTGTCCGGGAGGTTCCCTGTTCGAATCTAGTACTAATCAAGTTGATTCAGCCGGTAACGCTGCTGACTTGTGTCCGGGAGGTTCCCTGTTCGAATCTAGTACTAATCAAGTTGATTCAGCCGGTAACGCTGCTGACTTGTGTCCGGGAGGTTCCCTGTTCGAATCTAGTACTAATCAAGTTGATTCAGCCGGTAACGCTGCTGACTTGTGTCCGGGAGGTTCCCTGTTCGAATCTAGTACTAATCAAGTTGATTCAGCCGGTAACGCTGCTGACTTGTGTCCGGGAGGTTCCCTGTTCGAATCTAGTACTAATCAAGTTGATTCAGCCGGTAACGCTGCTGACTTGTGTCCGGGAGGTTCCCTGTTCGAATCTAGTACTAATCAAGTTGATTCAGCCGGTAACGCTGCTGACTTGTGTCCGGGAGGTTCCCTGTTCGAATCTAGTACTAATCAAGTTGATTCAGCCGGTAACGCTGCTGACTTGTGTCCGGGAGGTTCCCTGTTCGAATCTAGTACTAATCAAGTTGATTCAGCCGGTAACGCTGCTGACTTGTGTCCGGGAGGTTCCCTGTTCGAATCTAGTACTAATCAAGTTGACTAAGCCGGTAACGCTGCTGACTTGTGTTTGGGAGGTTCCCTGTTCGAATCTAGTGCTAATCAAGTTGACAGCCGTAACGGTGCTGACTTGTGTTCGGGAGGTTCCCTCTTCGAATCTCTGCCGGGACACACATTGTTCTGACTGACTTGTGTGGGTTTACTCAGCTCCTTCAGGGAAGTTCCCGGTTAGAATTTCAAAATCTGCTACGACCTCCTCACATCCATTGCAGTTCATTATTCTCTGGCATCCAGTTCTTCGACGCTGTATAGTCTTGAGTTACTCACAGCATAATTAATTAAACTACAGACTACCTAAATCAGTATTCATTGGTGAGATTCAAGAAGCGATCACGTCCCGGCTTCTCATCGCGGAGACTCGGGTTCAGTTCACAGCAATATCTTGTGAGATTCGTAATGGCTGGAATGACACTGGAGGACGTTCGTTCCCCGAGTTTCTTCAATTTTCTCCTGTCAGTAATGGTTCCGCCATTGCTCTGTCCTGGCCCCGGCAACCGGAATTGTCTGATTGTGGGTAGCGTGGAAGGTCAATATAGCACTTCAGCAGTAGAGCAACTGTGTAGATTTGGCAGCCAGGGTTTTGTTCCCAACAGCCTTAGAGATTTTCTCTCCTCCATGATGTCGAGACGGGCCTAAGGACCCACGCCGCTTCCTGTTTCCCCAGCGTGAAGCTACAAGGCTGTGTGTACTACCTCCACGCTCATTGTACGCTGTCATGGTGAACTTATTTACTGCAGATCCTAGTGCCGGAGGCCGGCTAACATACCGCAACATTTTCGTTATTTTCATGAACCCCCCCCAGGCGATACTTGGATAAAGCCTGTATATATCTGTGCCGTTACGGAACCGGGATAGCGTAGTCGGTATAGCGACTGTGTACGGGCTGAACGGCCGAGTGGCCGGAGTTCGAGCCCCGGTGCTATGAAGAATTTTCTCTTTTCCACATCGTCCAGACCGGCTGTGGGGCCCACCTAGCCTCCTATCCAATGGATGCCGGTTTTTTTTTCCTGAGGTTAAAGCGGCAGGGGAATGAAGCTGACCACTCACCTCTAGATGCTGCATATATGGGTCTATACATTCACTCCCCCGTACGCCTTCATGGCGTAGTACTTAAAGCACAGGGACAACTTTTCTTTTCTGTACGAAACAGAGGGGTAAGTCAGTACACGCTACTTTTCGGGAGCAGGATAAACAACTTTGGATGTTTACCCAGCAATGTACTTAACTCAGTATTCAATTTTGTAACTGAATGAAGAGTGTTGTTCTTGGAGGCATGCCTTGATTTTTAATTTGAGAATAGAGCGCTTATGAGAAATTTTGACTGAAGAGGGATGGAGTGACTGGAGGTTGCAGAAAACTGCATAATGAGAAGCTTCGTAACTTGAACTCTTCGTCAAGTATAATTAGAATGACCAAGTCAAGGAGAATGAGATGGGCAGGGCATGTGGCATGCATGGTGAGAAGAGGAATGCTTATAGGATTTTGGTGAGAAAGCCACAAGATGATGCAGACTTAGGTGGGTGGATAATATTAAAATGGATCTCAGATAAGATGGGGTACGGATTGGATTGATCTCGCTTGGGATAGGGACAAGCAGGCTCTTGTGTACACGTAATGAACCTTCGGGTTCCATAAAATGTTGGGAAATTGTCGACTAGCTGAGCGACTAACGGCTTCTCAAGAGGATTCAGTTCCACGGAGTTAGTTTATAAGAAAAATTTTGTGATGCACTTAACTCACTCTGGCCTTTTTCACTTAAGCCCCTTTTACATGATGCCATAGACGTGTAGTCGCTCCCATCAACGATGGAAGTTGTTCAGTAGACGTACAAAAGGCTTATTCTTGAAAAATGTCCTTCACGAACTACCCCTCCCTAACGAATCTGTTTAGTTGCTTTTGTTCTTTTTCTCACGTTGACTCAATTACTGCTACACAATAGTGAGTGTTGTGACTGGCAAAGGAAAACGCTATGTAAAGCAAGACAATTGTGTAAGCTTGCATTCAAATTCTACGCGAGTGTTTCATGAATACATATCATTACATAACATTTCTACATTAATATAATGAGCAGTGCAAGCTTGCGTAGTAGTTACGCGTTTTTAATTAAAAAAATACCGGAAGAGTGAATATGTTATATGGATGGCAGTTTATATCGATAAATCGATGTGGTGTGAATCGAGAAAATATATCCGACATCGATACAGACTGAAGAAGTGATGGAAAACAGGATCTCTATCGATTTAATAGAAATTTGGGAAGCCCCTTCAGTTGGAGATTGGGAAGAAAAGGAATGAAGAAACGGTGCCAAATCCCAGAAGACTGCTTTCTTCATAGTCACCGCCGTGAAAGCCTCAAATCTTACAAGAAAAGGAATGTTCACATATTTGTAGTGCAAATAAAATAAGTATACTATGTTTAAGTCGGATTTATTTTATTTAATCTATTTCGGTGTTTCAGTTTGAAGCAAACTTGCATTGTAATATATCTGTTATACTATACATTAAAATTGTTACTGCACTGCGTGAGATTATGAGAGCACAGACACTGGTTGCAGGTAATACTATTTCTGTCAATAGGTGGATCAGTCAACATTAATCTCTATATCGTCAGCTGTCCTCGTTTTCGTGAAAAGATGACTGTTTAAAAAAGCTTAAAATATTCAGGCATATTTTGCATTTTTTAGATTTTTGATGTTATAATTGAATTTTGAGCACCCAAAACGTAACCTCAGATAATACAAATAAAGGCAATATACAATATTTAAAATTGAGTTTTGGCAATTTAGAAACCGGAAACCAATAAACCGATTTTCGTTATCTGTAAGAACGAACAAGATATCGATTAGGAATATCAATTGATATCCATAACCATTCTGGATAGATTAAACGGTAGGAATAAAGGCAATGTGATGCTTATGCATCCAGGCTGTGTCTGGCAGAGGAAGCGAAATGGTTAAGACAGAAGTAACGTTGTCTCTGTGCTCAATTACTTAACATTTAGCGAAGGCTCAAGCGTGAGTGGTGACATAGCTCCACATATTCTTAATCTCGGCGCTACGTGGAGGCTGTTGAGAAGAGACATTCTCTTCCCCTGCCGAGAATCGAACAACAATTTACTTATCCTGGCTCCTGATGAAAAAGAAAATCTGATTTATTTCGTTCTAATTTGAGGAATAATATTTTGGTTATGTGCATGAATATTTGCTTTGTGATAAAAGCTATCCATGTAGCAGGCCGTGGAGGCCAGTAGAAATGTGAAACGTCGAGGTTCCCACATTTTCTAGACACTCGGCTCACAGATGGACATGAGGTTGTGAGCCTTACGCGCCGGCCGCCATTTACCCACAGGAAGATTCCTGGTGCTCGTTTCTCTTAGAGGCCGAGTCGACTCCAGGGCCATAGTGCGGCTGGAAGGATTAAGTCAATTTAAAATTCCGATTGACCTCATCGGCAGTCGAACCCGCGATCTTCCGGCATATAACATAGTGCCTCAACGAACAGCGTTATCTCTTGCTCCATCTTGCTTTGTGATAGGCTTTCTAATTACAATTGGCCATCATCTGAACATAATATCTACTCACGTCATTTTTTGTGCAGGCAAACTTACAGAAGAAAAGTCTTGTGTAAGTTTGTTTGGCATTTCACCGGCGTATGAATGCTGGAAGTTTTGTTGAAAATAGAATCTATCAACTTAATTAGCAGGTGCAGCATTCAAGGTACAACTTCTTGTCGTGTTCGTAGATTGTTGGCAGGCTACGTTGTCACATTTATGTTTTATAAATTTCACGACATGTTTCGACCTTATATGATCATATTCAGGTAGATACTTTTACGTATTTGCTGCACTGTATTACTTTTTCTACTTCATTCTTCTAAACCTTGGTTAGAACTAGTTCCAGTTACGTAAACGTATCTACCTGGTGATGACGTCATGAGGTCTGAACTTGCAGAAGTAACATCTATAGAAAAATTAGGATCGCAGCACACCAGCGGTCTACGAGAACGACAGGAAGTTGCGTTTTCAGGACTGACCCAACAAACGAAGTTGTTAACCAGTGCAACAGGACGTCGAAATGCAATATTAGAATCTAGCAACTTTCTGTAAATGATAATATAACGGTCTACGTCACTAACTGACGATGACGCACTCTCGTTCCCATAGCAGATGGAGTATATCATTCAGTGCTGTATAATCTAATAACTTTCTGGTGATGATGTAACGGTCTACGTCACTAACTGA